GTTGGAGATGTCATTTTCCAGCAATTGTATGCCACAAATATGGCTTGCTATTTATCAGCAATATCTAAATGTTGTCCAGATCTTGCTGCGTCTGGATACAAATTGTTTCATTGTTTGTGGAACTGTTAATAGAACGGAACGCTGAACTCATCAGTGAATATCCTCACTTCTTGATGGAAGCTGAAGATTGTTGGTGCTCCGACACCGCCCTGAGGATTTCCTGCAGCAATATCCTGGGAATGATTTGATTGCCTCTAGCATCCATAATGACCTTTCTTTGTAGTCAGTATGATTCCATACACTGGGGAATTTTCCTCAGTTTCTTAGTGGCTTCAGATTTGCTGGGGCTGTTTGTTCCCACATTAAGTCAAATATAATCTTGATAGTAAAGGGCTGTCATTCATCTCACCACAGATGTTATGGTGTGGATATCATTCTGTGAGTATGACTATGCCAAGCTGTTGGGTAGGACAACTCTTACAAGTTTTGCAAAACTCTCCAGTTGTTAGGACATTTTTTTTGTGTTTTTCTGGGCTGGTCCTAGGTTTGTTGTGTCTGGTATCTAGGTCAATGCTGGATAGTCTGTCCATTTTATACTTAGACATTTTTGTAGCAGTTTTATACTTCTGAATGGCTTGCTAGACCATTTCAGAGATCAGTTAAAAGTCAACCACAGTGAAGAAGTCTGGGTCACAAGAAGGCTAGTCCAAATAAAGACAGAAATTTTCTTTTCCTGACAGACATTAGTAAAGCAGAATCTTTGTAGTCACCAGTAAAGATGCTAGTTTCTTACTCCAGATTTACTTAATTAACTGAATTTAAACTCTCCAAGATCCATGGTGACATTTGAACCTAAATCTCAGGTGCATGTTGGCCCTGTGGATTACATATCTAGTTACATAAAAATATTAGACAGCCATGTTGGTTATGACTTTCATTAAGATCATAAGAAATGGGAACAGGAGTAGGCCATTCGGGGGAGGCGATTTGGAGAGGCAATGGCCTAGTGGTATTATTGCTGGACTGTTATTCCAGAGACCCAGAAAATGTCCTGGGAACCCAGGTTCAAATCCCACAAGGCAGTTGGTGGAATTTGAATTCATTAATTAAAAAAAAAATCTGGAATTAAGATTGTCGATAGTTGGTTCACTAATGTCCTTTCGGGAAAGAAACTGCCATCCTTACCCAGTGTGGACTACATGTGACTTCAGGCCTTCAATGTGGTTGACTCTTAACTACGCTCTGGGCAATTAGGGATAGGCAATAAATGCTGCATAGCAGCAATGCCTTTATCCTGATAATGAATAAAGAAAAAAAAATTTGGCCCCTTGAGCCTGCTCCACTATTCATAGAATCCCTACAGTGGAGAAGCAGGCCATTCAGCCCATCGAGTCCACACTGACCTCCGAAGAGCATCCCTCCCAGACCCAACCCCTATCCCTGTAATCCCTCTTACCCCATGATTAATCCATCTAGCCTGCACACCCCTGGACACTATAGGCAATTTACCATGGGCAATACACCTAATCCGCACATCTTTGGACTGTGGGAGGAAACAGGAGCACCCAGAGAAAACCCATGCAGACAAGGGAGAATGTGCAAACTCCACAATGCCCAAGAGTGGTATTGAACCTGATGGATAACCACTGAGCCCCTGTGCCACCCTTAATAGGATCAGGGATGATCCAACATTCCTCATGTCCACTTTCCTGTGTTTTCCCTTTAACTCTTGATTCCCCTAATGATCAGGAATCTATCTATCACGGTATTAAATATAAATAAGGACTCTGCCCCCACTAAGCACATCCTGCGATCTTTTAAACTCCAGAGAAACCGGCTGGTTCTACCTAATCTATGCATTGGACTGACAGCCTCTCATACCAAGAATTAATACTGTGAACCTTAATTACACCCCATTATAAGGCAAGTATTCCCTTTTTTGGAATTGATTCTTCCTACAGGCAGTAGGAAGTTTCCTATGAGGGCAAGGATGGGTTAAAGTTAAAAATGCTCTGAAAAAAGGACCAGTGGGATAAATATCATCAGCTGGATTTCCCATTCTTCTAACTCTTCAGCCATTAACAGATTGAATGCTGATGAGACAGCAGCACTCAGTTCACTAAAACTATGCGTTGAGGACCAAAAGACCAGGTCAGGGTTATGATAAAAGCCTGCTACTTGAAATGAGTGTTTATATAAAAGGAAACCTCATGTAAGAAGTACCCGCAGATTTCAGGTAGTCCCAAGTACCTTTCAAGTATCACATTATATTCTCTCCTCATTGGGTGTCCAACATGTGTTACTCAGTTGTTATTATGCATCTATTTTGACCCAAAGTTGAGACAGCCAGATTTACAGATTACTGAAGTGCAAAATCTACTTGCTAGAGTAACATGCCAGAGCAAATTGTAATTGTTCAGCCTAATTAAAGAACAAGGAAACTTGTGGGCTATATTTCAACTATTTAATATAGATATTTTAATCAACCTGTTGAGACTTGTTATGACACACCTCTGGAACAGATAGTCCTCCTGGCACAGAAGTAGGGCCACTAGTATTGCAGCCAGCATTCTAATTAGATGGCATATCCTTATGATTAGTGCATCTTCTGTTGTATTGAACACAAGGGCAGGTCTTAATGCTTGCAGGGATGCCAGTGTCAAATCAATGTGGCCATTCCAAGCCCCTGATTCAGTTTAATGCCAATCACCTACCCCATTGGTATAAGGATTCTCACCATGGTCAGATGGAGTTTCCTGTCTCTGAGAACTATTAACCTACCAGAGACCGGCAGCTGTCCAATACTACTGCAGTAGGCCTAGGCTGTGAGGTCATTGCCAGAGAGAAGGTAGGTAACCTCGCTTGCTGAGGCCACTTGCAGTAATCCAATTGAGAGGAGGAAGTGGGTTTAGTTATAACTATAGGCTGGGATCTTTGTCCATGGACAACTCTTACCTCTGCCAGGCCTCAGGGCATTGGCTGCCTAGTTATATGGGATTCACCCTATCAGGATGCAAGCATACCTGCCAGTACTCACTTTGCAGGTTGCCCACATAATGCGATCTCATTTACAAACAGTTGATGACCCTTATGTGGTCTAATTGTTGCCTTTCTGGCCCAATTATCAGCCCACCAGCCTCCTCCTCCCATGCCTCTGTGTGAAGCAGTAATGTGTGACGGAGTTAAGTGAAACAGGCTTACAGCACTGTATGTTATTATATCAGGATACAAAGACATAACTTTGTTCCTACCTTAAAGTCACAAATTTTGTCTTTAATACTATATTAATTTTATAATGAAATAGCAAAGAACACTATAATGTAGAGTACAGAGCTTCTGGAGTATTTCTGGAAAGTAGAAATTTTGCACTATCAGGAAAGAATTGTAAGAGTACCAAAACTCAAACTGAACAATAATTTATATTGCACGAGATGATCCTGCTGATTGGAGTCCACTGGCCATGAATTGGTCAATATATTGCCATAGGAAATGCACCAAGGAACAGTTAACTGACAAGCTTCTGTTTAAATCCAAATCAGGCAAGTCATTACTGATTGGTGAAGACATTGCCATGAGGAACGCTTGAGTGGATAGTTACCCTGAGCTTTGGTTTAGTTAAAAATGCTCAATGTGTAGACATGTTCTTCTGTTTACAAAGAACAGGAACCTGTGAATGAACATATATAACTTCTTGTAAGTGTAAGTGAGCTACATTGTGAGCCTGACAAAAATCTTTCAATTCATTGTAAGCATAATTCATGGCACAATTAGGTTGTTCGGTAAGTTTTGTACAATTGTGGAAGCCCCCATCAACATTGGACACTATGTTCAGAGTTTTGCAAACATGGACAATTGGAATACAGTGAACAGTCTGCCTGTTGTGAAAAGCTGAATGTTTACAAAGCTACTTACATTATAAACCTAGGTGTAGGAATTCATACTTAAAGCAATTGAGAAGAATATCACAGGCATCACAACAACAACTAAGATTTTGTGGATCTAGGGAACACATCATTTTTGCTTAAAATCGGGCTGCAAATTGTACCAAAGAAAAGATACCCCATGGAGTGCCAACTGCCACAAGCTGTTGGATGATTGATAATTCTATTGTTAGCTTCATGAAGACAGTGATCGCTTTTAGTGATATTGCTGCAATTTTACAAATTATTTTCTGATTGGCTCAGGCAAGTTCAATCAACCTCCCATTCAGATAGCAAACCATGAACAGAGTTTTACGAGGATGTATTGGGATCCCAATCTCAGAAAAAGCAGGTCCCGATCCCATAATTGGCAGCTGCCAAACCTGCTCAATTTTATCACAGACAGCTACCTGATTGGCCATCTATGGGCCCATCATCCAATTAAGGATGGCAGGCCAGTTCCTTATGCTCCCAGTACAACAGGGAGATCAATTTTGCAGGAGGGGGCCTGAAAATGCCCAGAGGCAAGTTGAAACAAAGAAAAATTCATAGGATTGAAGGTCCCACTTTACCGACACATCTTGGATTCATGGGAGCTGCCTTCCCTGATCTTGGCCCCTTCTTTGACTTATGGAACAATGTCCCCATATTGCAGCAGGGAGGCTGCCTCCCCATAGCTGGAAACATTTCCATGTCGCAGGGTGCTGTCCCAACATTGCCTTTACCATTTTGCCACTCCAATATGACTCCCCACTGGACTGTTAATTATATAAGTCAGCCGTTCCCATGTTGTTCCCTGTGCACTAAACTCCCAGATGTCCTGTGGCCCTCCATACTGAGCAGTTTGCACAACAAACAACTTTACAGACAATATTTAAAAATTCTAAACATGCATAGCTAAGTCAAAAAATTAGACCCTACTGCTCCAGCAAAATTTGGTCCATTATTTATAACTTTACAAATACAAAGATATGTATGATACATTTTTAAATTCCTGCTAGCTTTAATCACCAAGATCTGCAAAGCAATTATTTCTTGCAAACTGGGATTACGATAAATAAAATAACAGGAAATCTATACCAAGTAGGTAGCCAGAGATAGTGGAGTTCTTCCACAGGCATCTTCCGTATTGATGGAAGCCCCCATCTTAAGGAGCAGCTTCACTGTATCAAGCTGGCGACCGGATATTGCGTGCATCAATGGAGTTGATCCTGAAATATTTTTTGAACAATTAACTGTTTTTTCCCCATTTGCAATAACAACTTAAATTTAAAACTCAATTATCTATAATTTAATATGGTGTTCTCTCCAAAATTCTTCAACTTACCCATACAGCTATATTTTTCTTTATTCATTCACAGGATGAAGATGAGGGTGTCACTGGCCAGGCCACCTGGTTCACTAATGACCTTTAGGGAAGGCAACTGCCATCCTTACCCAGTGTGGACCACATGTGACTCCAGACCCACAGCAATGTGGTTGACTTTCAACTGCCCTCTGGGCAGATAGGGATGGGTAATTAAATGCCGGTCCAGACAGTGACACCCCCGTCCTGTGAATGAATAAAAACAAATACCCTCAATTAAAGCAGAATGAAAATATTAGAAGGACCAGATCTTTGGATTGTTCTTTATTAGACTCTTCTATAACAACATACAGTATTATAATGTGCAAAGATACAAATGCAAGTTCTAATTTGTGAGGTAGAACATGAATTAACCTTATGAGCCAGACATGGACTTTATTTTTAGTAAACAGTGATTACTCAAAGTGGTGACCTAAGAATATTTCCCTAATTTTCTTCCTGGACTACAGCACTATGGGTTCTAGTAAGCCTCCAGCACTCAACTAAATCCTTTTTCTGTGTCTAGGCAGTGAATATTTGAAGGCTAGTCAACTATAGTGCACATTGTAGCTGAACCTGATCCTAACTTCAAGGAATAGCAATCTGGAACAGGGACCCACATTACCTCCTATGTTTTTGACGCAACCCATAATTGTTGAAGTCAATTATGGCACCCAATCATTAACCTGGGTAACATCAGCTACTTTAGTACAGACCTGAAACCATACCAGGGAACTATATCTCAGTTACTCCACATATTATTAATATGGTCTGTTGCCCGTTGAACAGATATAAGAATTTTAAGTGTTGTTTGTGTGGAACTTGTATTTTCTATGATTATAAAATCCAGTCTAAATTTATACGTGGATGGAGTATTGATAACACATTTACCCTCACTATCACAACATTCCAAGATTGAAGGATCCCCACGAATCACTGCAGTCAGGGTGTTGACATCTCCACTGGATGCTGCCTGATAAACAACATTGAGATCGATTTCTTCTGCAGAGTCACCTTTGTAACAGATCACAAATCAAGAAGCAGTAAGTAAAATGGCATTTTTGAAGCAAGTTTTACAGAAATATCAACTTTTACTTATTCATGACAAATCACTGAACCATGAGGATTGTATCTTTACACCATTGTTCTGTTTGTACCTTGTGATCCTTGGTAGTTGCAATTTAACATTAAGTATTAAATATAAGCCTAAAGTTGCCAGAGTATTTCCTTATGATGTGTCGAACCATCATCACATATTTCAATACACAGTTCCATTTTAAATTAACCCTGATAAATGTACACATCAGTTTGAATTCATTTTAGTCACTTATAGCATCAATTCCCTGCTTTATTTGTCAAATACTAGGGTGAGTTCAAAATCTGCCTGCTATAACATCAGAATGGCCAAAATTTCAGTTTGTAGTAATTCAGCGTTTATGTATATCCTGAAATACAATACTAGAAAATAAAATTACACAAAAGGTATTTGAAATCCAGGATTTTCTACTTCTAAAGACTGGATGCTAGGGCAATTAAAGGTTAGTTAAGTGAGAATATAAAGGGATATGGATCTAAGTTAAATGGAATTGAGGTATAGATCAGCATTAAGTAGGGTAAAGGAGCATAACTCTGTTTCTATGTTCCTATAATCAGTATTTGAATCCTGTTATCTCCGTAGACTCCAACAACTTGAAACAAATCTGAAAGCCACTGAATACTTTTTGCAATAGTAATAAGAGCCATTAGAAATGAATTAGTAATTAACCTGAAAAGCAACTGATAATTACAATCTTTGCATCATTTTACTGCCCCCTCCTTCAAGCAGAGACAGAGAAGTCCATGCAAATGTTACAGGGGTTTTCCTTTGTTTGATGACTTTAGTACTTGGAATTTTGCCCGTGACCATCAATGCTTCTCCCCTATGGATTCAGTATCCAGCTCTGCCATGACAGAGGCACTCTACAGTGTCCAGAGCTTCCAGAACTTCCTTATGAGGATGTTGTCCCTATAGTACAACTCAAGGCAGAGTTCTAATCGTCTCTTCTGGTGTATATGGCAGTCAGAGATGTCATCCCTACCATTGTTTTCAACGGAGCCATTTTCTTTTTCGATTGACCTGTTACCTTCGTGATCCCTTCATATGTGTCCCTAGAATTCCCTATGGAAAAGGACATCTGGATTTTCTAGCAAAGTTGTAAAGTTGTAACCAGAAGTCATTAGTGCACTGTCTGTCAGTCTGTTGGACTTTACTTTGAACAGCTCTTCATGTATTGAGAATCTTCTCACTCGGAGATTTCTTGTAGTTAATGAAATGGACCACTTCAATGACAGTCAGCCGTTTTCTGCTGTTGCTTCTTATATGTTGAGAATGCATTCTTTAAGGTGCTATCTTAAAATATGTTCCATTTTCCAACTGCTTTCCATGTGGAAATGCAGAAGAGTAGCTATTCAGTCATGTCAAGGAATTGTTGGTCTTTACCTGATTGGGCAGTATTGCAGATTGTGATTCAACGATGACATTTCCGCTTTGGATGAAAAATTTTCCAGGGTTGCTTCCTGTGCAGATCTGTGTCTGGATCACAGGCAGTGCTGTGGTAGATCTGGGTGTTGAGAATAGCATTCAGAGTGTTTTTTTTAAGTTTTTATATCCAGAGTGTGTTCACACACAACTGAACATTATTATTTTTCCCACCACCAAACCACCAATGTTACTTTTGAACCTGATCCACCACCACTAAATCACCTATTTCCAATTAAGGATCCACTTTCCTGCAAAGCCCATGCGTGGTGCGCTGATAGTGTCCCTACCTCTGAGCTAGGAGCCATGGGTTTAAGTCCCGCCTACTCTAGAGGTATTTCATAACATCTCTGAATAGGTTGATTAAAAAATATTTATCTACAGGAATGAGAATATGCCTTATTTGCATTACAACCAGCTAACAATATAGGCTAAAATAAGAAGCAAATTAATGCACAAAAACAGAAAGCATGTTCACTCTCTTCACACACGCACTGGATTTTAATTTGAATTGCTTACAGTTTTTTTTATACAGCAGATGTAAACCTAATCAGTGGTAGAATTCCCAGAATCACATTTTCTGTGAACAAGAAAATTAAAAATATCAAATTTCAAATCAATAGATATCAATAGTTACATTTGTTGTTTCATCTCATACAACCCTAAGGTTGAAGAACTAAGGCTGAAGAAATGCATTAGACACATGTGATGTACAGGCCCAGAAATATAATTTTAACCATATAGAATACATGGAATGGAATCTCCCCAGCCCCCAAAATGACACAGGAATTGCTAAGGCAATTGGGACAATCGCATATGATAGCTAGCAAAGAGTTTCTCGATGTAGAAAGCGAAATGTTTCATTTTCCAATTAAACGTTGAACAGCAAGATGAGAATCATGTTAGTGAGCATTGAGAGGCCTATTTGCAGCACTAGCATCCATTAATGCTTAATCTCATGTCATTAATATGTACATTTCCATTTTCCTACCCATCGATAGAACTAGATCCAACCATTCTCAACGTGAAAGCCAGAACGATTACCTGGCAACTTCAGCTCCCTGATGGCACCCCTGTGGAACTCCATGTTGGACACCAGGCATCAACATCTTAGTCTAGGGGCTTGGGCTTGGTTTGGGTATGGTCAGTTTGCCACTTGAGGAAAGCAGAGGCCCTGGTCAACCCTATGAGTCTAGTTCAGCCAGGTAGGTGCGTGGCAAGAAATCAGGCCCGGAGCTGTGCAGATGTCAGTCAGTGAGCTACTCAGCCAGCAGTCAGGGCTGTCCATCTGGGTCATTTGGGGGTGGAGTGGGCGGTTGATTTATGGTCCAGCCACCAAAATTCAAGGGACAGGGGATTATCAGGGGCCACTACTGTGTGAGCAAATGGGGAACTTGATTGTAAGGATTGGAGGCGGTATGCTGGGATGTAGATGTGAAAACAATTATGAAGTGTTGGCAATTCAATATGTAAATGGGGTAGACAATTGAGCATGAAAGGGTAAGGGTCATGCAAGAGTGTGGGAGGGGATGGGAAAAGAGGATAATTGACAATCAGCAATGAGGGGGCTGGTGGGAGGTGCAACAGCGACTGCTATATCTGGCAGGTATGACTGAGTCTGGGAGGATAGTGAAGTGGGGAGATGCAAACTTAGGTCAATGATTTGGGTGGGAAATTTCATTGCAAATAGAGATGGTAGGAAAGGCTTCCAGGAAAGGAACATGTACATGTAAGAGTTCATCAAGTTAAGAGGCTAAGACTGATACTCACTTTGTGAAGAGTAACTGCTGCTTCTGTCATCATCCTGCAAGTAACAGGTGTGCAGTGGAGTGGAAAATGGTTGTGACTACACACAGATTGCGTTGGATATGTTTAATTTTCTGATGGAGGGGACTTTCCTTTTGAATGATTTGAGACCCTTCAAAAGGCAACAGCTTTACACAGACACTTACACAGTACAGCTGAAGGACACCTGTGAGCACTACAAACTGCACATGAACCTTAGCTATTAACCTACTGTGTGGAGTCCAAATCCTGGCCTCGAGTACCGTTGACAACATCCTGGAGCATCAGGAGTCAGTTCCATTGATGTCTGTGCTGCACAAACAATGTATTAAAGCATGGAAAGCTTGACTCTAGTTTCTAAAGTAGCAAGTAACTTCCAAATTCCCAGAGCCTGCACATGCTGCAGGATCTACTCACTCCACACCTTGGATCATAAAAACTTCTGTAGCACTAAGGATGGTTGGACTTTACACCTTTAGTTTTGTAATTTCAACTAGGCAGATATTTGTTCATACAGCTGATGATGAAAAGTGAACATATGTTTAGGGATGTGATAATGTATTTGCAATGAGGTGTCACTTCCTTCCTTCCCTCCCACTGTATCTTGGTGCAGTCTTCAGGTCTGCATTTGGTTTAGACGGAAGTTGCCTGACAGTGGAGTCCTTTGGCCCTGGAGTCTTGGCTAGGAGACTCTGGACAGAACACCCTTAGCATGTCTGGCTCATCTAGCCACAGACCACCCCAAAGTGCACCCTCCTCAGCTCGAACTCTCACAAGGCTGATGTTGGCAGGCAGGATGGAGGTAGAAGGCCTAGCCACCTTTGCACTGTCCTGAGAAGCAACATCAGAGTGGCCTGTATGTGGTTCCTCTTCTGGACGGGGATCTACTACCACCACCTTGCCTTCTTGTGAGGAAACACTTGGAGTGAGGTCAAGGTCCCTGGTCCTGCTGTCACCTGGCCATTGCTGCAGGCCACCATTGGTTGGAGCATAGGAGTGTAAGTGCATGTGTAGACCAAGCATTGCTGCAACTGGTTGTCCATGATAATCACCACTTTATTCAAGGAGATAGTCAGATGTTCACATGCCAGAGACAGTATGGTACCAATAGCGTTGGTGCTTCCTGCAAACATTCATCAGATTGTCCAACAATCCTGCCTGCTGCTGCTGTGTCTCCTTATGCATTTTGATGAGGTCTTAATCACCAATAACATATGGTGCTCTCCTGCCTGGGGCTGAACAGATGCCTGTTCCCCAGCAGTTCTCCAGGTGCCAGGACGGTTCTTGCTGAAACAGCTGCAGAGACGTCACTGCAGATGATCCCGAGTCTAATCAAGGATAAACACTGACTGGGATGTCAGTATCTGAGCTGGTGGAAGGTGCAGGAGGCAGCCTCACCAGTGAATCCTCCGAGACATCTGTGCTCACATCCTCAGAGATGGAGGAGGAGAAGTCTTAGGCCAAGGCCTCTTAGAGACTGAGACTCTGCTGCTACCAAGGAGAGTGCAAAAAGAGAGAAAATGTCACGGACAAGGGGTAGAAAGTCAGCCATGTAAAGAGTTCATATGCAGTGGCATTAATGAGCGAGTAGCACAACAATGATCAATGCTCCATTTTTGGTTTCCAGGACTTGGACAAACTCAGATTCTCCTCACTCCTTGTTGGGGCTTGCTGTGAATCTTCAGCGGTCGATGGAGCGTAATTGTGGACAAACATATCGAGCACACGCAGTATACATTCCGTAAACAATCTCTACATTTCAATAGCGCTCTTCCCTGACAGCATCTGTTCCCATTTTATGATACCCAGTTCTTGCCTAACAGAATTGTAATTATTCTTCCCCCAGTTATAAACCTTTCCATGCTGTATGTACCTATCCTTTTCCATGACTATTGTAAAAGTAACAGAGTTATGATCGCTACCGGCAAAATGCTCTTCTACCAACAGGTCTAACACTTGGCCTGGTTCATTGCCAAGCACCAAATCCAAAGTGGCCTCTCCTCATGTTGGTCTATCTACATACTGTGTCCGGAATCCTTCCTGAACACACTGGACAAAATCCGCTCCGTCTAAACTATTACAACTAAAATGTTTCCAATCAATATTTGGAAAGTTGAAGTCACCCATGACTACAACCCTGTGAATTCTACACCTTTCCAGTATCTGCCTCCAATCCACTCCTCCACTTCTCTGCAACTATTAGGGAGTCTGTAAAAAACCCCCACAAAGTGACTGCTCCTTTCTTGTTCCTGACCTCAACCCAAATTGACTCTGTAGACATATCATTCTCGAACTGCCTTTCAGTAGCTGCTATACTAGCCCTGACTAGCAATGCCACTCCCCCGCCTCTTTTTCCACCCTCCCTACTTCTTTTGAAGCATCTAAATCTCGGAACTTCCAACAACCATTCCTGTCCCTGAGTTACCCAAGTTTCTGTAATGGCCACAATATCGTAGTTCCAAATACTGACTCATGCTCTAAGTTCATCCGCCTTATTTCTGATACTTCCAGCATTGAAGTATACACACCTCAAACCATCTCTGTGTACGCTCCATTGACCGCATTTCTTTATTAACAACCTGTTGGAAGGCTGAATACCTCATCCTCTGAATTACAAATCTGGTTCCCCACCCCCTGCCAATCTAGTTTAAACCATCCCGTATAGCTTGAGCAAACCTCCCTCCCAGGATATTTGTGCCCTTCCGGTTCAGGTGCAACCCGTCGTTACTGTGCAGGTCCCACCTTCCCCAGAATGTGCTCCAATTATCCACATAATGGAAGCCCTCCCTCCTACGCCAGCCCTGTAGACCACCTGATATTTATTGAATTCAAATTTCACCATCTGCCATGGGTGGTATATGAACCTGGGTCCCCAGAATGTTATCTGGGTCTCTGGATTAACACCCAGTGATAATACCACTAAGCCATTGCCAGCCCATTAGGGTAGCTATATAAGGCCACTTAGGCCACTTTTGGAGTATTATGTGCAGTTTTAGTCACCATACTACCAGAAGGATGTGGAAGCTTTGGAGAGAGTACAGAGAAGGTTCACCAGGATGTTGCCTGGTCTCCAGGGCATTGGCTATGAGGAAAGGTTAAAAAGTCTGGGATTGTTTTCACTGGAAAGACAGCGGCTGAGAGGAGACCTGATGGAGGTCTACAAAACTATGAGAGGCATAGATAGGGTGGGATAGTCAGAGACTTTTTCCCACAGAGAGTGGTAGCAGCCTGGAATGCACTACCAGAAGAGATGGTGGAAGCGGGCACATTGAAGACATTTAAGAGGCACCTAGATGGGTACATGAATAGGGACGGAATAGAGGGATATAGATCGAAAAATGGCTAGTTTGTTTTTAGATTAATTAGGGCATGATGGTCAGCACAGGCTTGGAGGGCCGAAGGGCCTGTTCCTGTGCTGTACTTTTTCATTTGTTCATTTAAAAAAAACATCAGATAGGATCTATACAGAAGTCACTATCTACTGTCATAGTTTCTCCTCGAGAGTCAAAGAGACTCTGAACGAGTACCGTCATCTTTGGAGTTCCCTAAGCGTCCATCCTTTAACCTTTCTATTTCTTATCTGTGTGCCGCTCTTTCAAAGTTGTCATTTCAAGGAAATGACATCAACTTCCATACGTACTCTGACCACACCTAATTCTACTCCACTACCATGTCTCTTTCAACACCTCTCAAACCCATTATAGAGTTATAGATATTTACAGCACAGATAAAGGCCCTTCAATCAAAATCAAGCACCTACTTATTCTAATTTAATTTTCAAGTACTTGGTCCATAGCCTATATGTTTTGGCATTGCAAGTGTACGTTCAAATACATCTTAGTTATTATGAGGGTTTCTACCTGGACCACCATTACAGGCAGCGAGTTCCAGTTTGTCACCACCCTGTTAATTAAAAAATCTTTCCTCACATCTCCTGTATTCCTGGCCCTTATCTTAAATCTATTCCCCCGGTCATTGATCCTTCTACCAAGGGGAAAAGTTCCTTCTTGTCAACCCTGTCTGTCTGCTTCATAATTTTACATATCTCAATTACATTGCCCCTCAGTCATGTCTGTTGCAAGGAAAACAACCCCAATCTACTCAGAGATAGTAGGAACTGAAGAAGGGTCTAGGCCCGAAACGTCAGCCTTCCTGCTCCTCTGATGCTGCTTGGCCTGCTGTGCTCATCCAGCTCTACACCTTGTTATCCCAATCTATTCAATCACTCTTCATAACTAAAACTCTCCAGCTCAGACATTGTCCTGATAAATCTCTGCACCCTCTCCAGTGCAGTTAGATCCC